AATAGACGAATACAATGATATGTTCCAATAGACGAATATAATGATATGTCCCAATAGACGAATATAATGATATGTTCCAATAGACGAATATAATGATATGTCCGAATAGACGAATATAATGATATGTCCCAATAGACGAATATGATATATCCCAATAGATGAATATAATTATGATACATCCCAATAGTACATTTCCTATTCTCATAACGTGATCAGTGAAATATGTAAGGTATAGTAGTAAAGAAACATATGCGTTAATAATTAACAAAAGATTGATAAAAGCCGATCATATTGAATTGAGATTATGAAAGGTGGTGCTCTAATTTTTATTATGAACAATAATTCATTGAAATTATTTATATTTGCTTAAGTAGAATGTCGCTTAATGGTATCAGTCCTGCCCATACTGTCAACATATTGTAATCCCATTATCGTGGCAGAGACGTGGCTAAGAGTTGATGATATGTGCATGTATGACGCTCTCATCTTAAACAGGTTTAATACAGTCGAATAGTCATTTTGAAGAAACTCTTGCGTAACCGAAATAATAATTAAAATGAATTCACATTCACTGATTTCCGACCAAATAAATTACTTGTCGGTTCCCATCACTCATTTGGAAAATTCTGAATGGAAGTTGCTAGGTGACACGCTGTGTGAAGGATGGGGAAGAGTGACAATATGGATGAAAGGTTTGGTCCTCATTATAAGAACCTCATTGCATTATCAATCGTCACTGCATCATTCCACCTGCACAACGTTTGTATTGACGCCACCATCACCAAATACACTGACTATTTACTGTACAGTGGTTAGGTAGAATAAAACACATCAAGGAAGTGAATATTCTAACTGAAATGAGCAATTTTTTTAATTTTACAAGAAATTGTTTATTTTTACAGAAATATGAATCGATGACATTGTAATACACTGAAAAATAACAGCAACTAAGTATGCATACCTGTCATACTCGCCACCTTTCACAAATGATGATACATACTGTAATAGCAGGAATAATCAAACGAAAGAACACAATTATACTTGCCGATATTTACTCCATCCATGGTAACCTCGTTTCCAATCATGTTTGTGGCAATGCTTTCTGCGAACCCCTCCATGCCTTTCATGATATTACTGTGCATTTCATTTATCTGAAACATACACACAGCATATACGTCGTTATAAAGTATACTAAAAGGTAACCCACACACATTAAATGCAACTTTACGCATAATACTCAATTCCACAAACATATAATTAACCAGAAATCTCTGATCACGATATAAGATGGAATGATCCTTACCATCGTTTGACTGTCAGTGACTTTCGAGAGGTCGAGACCAAGAACAGAATCCGAAATTGAGAAGAAATTCTGAAATATATAAATGCGGTGTTTCCAACAATAAATGATAAATTATGTTCAATTGCGGTAATGCAGCTCAGAGGTTAAAATGTCTGGTAAAGCAGTATTCTAAACTTACGTCTACATCTTGAGTATCGGCGCAGACACCAAGAATAGCAATAACTTCTTGTAGTTCCAGTAAAGTCCAGGTTTCTTTATCTTGTATAATCTCTTTAATTTTGTACAAGGCCTCGTCGTTGATTACATCGAGTACGTCGTTATTGTACATGACTGAACCATAAATAGGAGATATCTGCAAGGAATGTTACATAGTCTTGTTAACAGACAGGTACATAACACCTTTAACCTTTTTCTTGAAGCAACACGTTCTAGCAACAAACGGATAAAACATTGCAATAGCACGTACACAAGATATTATTAAGCATGTACTAGGATTTGTTAGGGTCCGCCACAGATTGACAAGGTTTCCTGCAAGAGGTCGCAAGACTTAATACTTTTACAATTTCCCAGAGGGCAATATTAAATGTGAAGGATTGAACTTCGACCTGTTCATTTCAAACTAGTCACCGTGGGAACATGCTGCTTACGTGTCATTTACAAGCTGTTCCATAAGGCCAATCATATTTGGCGCAATAAAGAGATCGTTCTTGCCCGCAGTAGCGAGGCGTTTGTCATAACTATCATAACTTCGAATTGCGTTTTAAATATTGTATTGTTTGTCTGTAATTACAATAATTATTCACAGTGATTGTCACTACTGATGGTCAGTAATGTCCCGATTTGAACTGAACCTTGAATTGTAAGTGTGTAGTTATATACTACACGCTATTTGAAATGTACGACATTTTCTTGCAGTGACGAGACATAAACGTTGCACGATAAGCCACGTAAAATACTGAGGCGATTCATATATCAACGTTCAAGGTATCTTCAAATACCTTCCAATAAAATCCTTACTCAGGAGAAGATGATTTTGGCCCTACAGTGTAATGTGTAATGTAACGTCGCCAAATATTAAACCGAGTTAACCCACTGGTTACTGTCATTGCAAAGCAGGCACTACAAGCTTACATTCTCGCAATTGCTCATTGTATTATAAAACATTTTACAGTTCAACTACACGTCAATTCAGCAACAACAGAAACAGAATATCTAGGGCTAATCGGCATATTATTACGTCACAACGTCAAGATTAATATTAACGTTGTAAGAAGTGCTTCTATTTCGGTTTTCAATTTACCAAACTTAGCTGGATGATTTGTGTAATACTTTTTTGAGTTTCGTATCGGCATTTTTCACGTGACACAATTCGAGCTGAATATGCACACCCTTCAATTCCTATGTAGTTGTTGGTCACCTAAGTGATATGTGGCTTATGTAACATAATGGTCGTGTCTCTCCGTTCGTTTTATTGCATAATAAAATTCTCCACCGGTATATTGCTATAATGGGAAAATTTAAGAGCATTTCCATCCGTTAAATCTATACGTGCATCATTCAATACCCATAGTTACTACGAGGCTAATTGCATCTTACGCGAGTAATGCATCACTATTGAATAATCAGCTCTGTATTATTAGACGCGTACTCCATTACTATGTCATATTCAGCTTTGTATTATTAGACGCTTATTCCATCACAGCCCCTGGCGATTTCACAACCAACGAATTTCAAATTACAAATAAAAAAAAAATCACAAAACAACACGGATGTACTTCATGCATCTGTCCGGATAATGGATGTTATGTAAATCCGTTACTACGTGCTAATGGGGAATCTATCAAAATGAAATGAAATTCACACTCGATAGTTTTGCAAAACACAAATCGGAAAGTGAGACCGCATCTAGTCTGTCCAGGGATTAAATATTGTGGCAATTACAACTCGATACCGAGATGCACACTCGCTAATATATAAGTATAATAGGGTGACATTAGTTTCTATCTTGGGACCAGTATTTTATAAAGCCACCCGGCACACTCAGATAACTCGGCAAACAACTATAATTCAAAATATATCTATAGTTTGTATAAATGTATACAGAACAATACACTAGGAAAAACAGCCACAATTTAATACATTATAGATATAGATTATCAACATTATTTTACTTGAAACTACACAAACATGTCTGAATTGAAATTACATTTTAGCAAGAATGCGCCTAGTTACAATATATTAATGTATGGCACATGTCTCCAGGTAATCTCTATTGCATAAAATTTAACACTGGCGATAGGCATCTCTTAACCAAGTCCAGCGATCAGGCAAAGACATCAGGAAACTATGCTACGATCTAAAATACCATTATAGAAGGAAACAACACAAGCTCATAAAACTATCACATAGCGAGAAAACAATGCGTCAGCACGAAACTCTCATTGCAGTATTGATGTGTCAATTGAATCAGAAGAGAGGTGTAATGTAATGACGCACTTTACCTGAGTAGCTTGCTGTATGATCTGTATTCTGTCATTTGAGGTCAATTCAGGTGTAGGTACCGTGGTTGAATATAGAGGTGCAGCTGTAAATTCAAATACGGATCAGTGAGTTTAGTATAGCTATTTAATACGTAAATAAAATGTCAATTGTAACTATTTATTAAAGAGTATGAAATGTACATATCATGAATGAAATTAACGCCTATATATATCCAAGGTAGACATCAAATATAAAAGAAGAGGTTTGAATAAAGTGATCAGTTTCAGGAAACTGACCCCAATTATTCAGACAATTCCATATTCAAATGAACCAATGCTTGATTCGCCACATGACATCCGAGTTGTGTACTGCAAGAAATCACGCAGTCTTCTCAAGAACTATATTACTCTTATACAGAAAAAAACAAATTAAATCTGCCCGAGAGTCTGTTTCACTTTCAGAACATTTGCAGTATTGTTTGGTACATTGAAGGCCACAGGGAATAACATGTCCTCATATTTCGTGACATGAATATTTGATACCATGAACACGAATCTAAACAACATAGACGAAGACATTCAGCGTATTTTTACGTCCGCCATATGATTGATGTGAGTACTTGTATGTAATTGAGTGCATGCATTAGTGTCATTCACGTGGGAAAAATCCTAACATAAGTTATTAATCACGGTTACAATCAGGTGTATTATTACCGTCGTTCAAAGCTGCGAATAAGTCACAACCGTAAATCTTAAACTATTCGCATTAGAAGGCTATATTAAATGATATATTAAATAAAAAGATAAAAAGGTCAATTTGTGCTATTAAACAATTACAATCATATAATTAATTTTATACTACATATGTGTTCACATAATAATGCCTCGATAATCGAAGATTACGTAATCACATGGTGGATTAATTAAATGGAAATCAGCAATCGGTGCGTTTACGCATTCTTTACCCCGGGTAACGTCGAGTGCCTCACAAAATAGCTGTTGTGCTCATGCGTTTTTTACGATTGGCGATATATCAATGAAATAGGTTATGTCCATTCGCGTCCTGTGCATTGCACAGGCTACGTATGTGGCGTCATTTTTTAAGAGCTAGCGTTCGATGCAAGTATCAATTACAATCAGTTATTTCATGTCGTTTGCGCACACGAAATTAGGCACTACACATTTACCGCTTTTACTGACTAGCGAACAATTGTGACATTTCAAAGACTTTTATTTTTTTATAAAGAACGACGCTAACACAAATACCCTTTTCTGAGTATCATGCCTTGACTTATAAATCGAATCGTGCTCCTGGAACCGCAATGAACACTTATACAAGAGTATCAGTTCTAGTTGCGCTGACACTCATTAGTAACATATATTTGTGCTTTTTATCGTCGAACATTGTGCAACGAAACGCACATGCTGTCAGTTATTTCCGGAGCTGTTGGGCTTCGTCTACTACTTAATGAATACATATAATGAAAAAAAAGCGTCTACGTATTACGCTGCAAAGGAAAAGCCCTTTATTTTATAGAGATAAGAGGTGACAATCGCTAAGTCAATTGGAACATCACACTGAATTCTTACTACACATAAGAGGTAGCTTAAAAAGGTGTTGATACGTTGCTAGGCGACGATGACACACGAGATCAGGATAAGTATCCCCAATTCCCGTCGCGGTATTCCATCAAAGCCCGATACTCACCATTGGTGATTAACAAATAATGGCAGTTTGATCTAAATGACGTGATTATTATAATATACATTCAAATTATATCTATAACAAAATCAAGATCCCCGTTGTTATTTTAAACTCATTTTTTTTCCTCAACTGGTAATTACAATTCACAGGCGGTGGGATATAAAAATAAATGAATATACCCACTCATTGATCAATCAATCGATGGAATAATATCATTCTCAGTAATCGTGGCTAATAATGGGATCAAAAATAGGAGATTACGTGAATGAAATCTTAATGACATGACAGTATTCAATCTCGCAATATATGTTTCATTTATATTTACCTGGGTAGCCGAGGATTTCCAGTCTTAGAGTAGCCGCTGTTTGACTGTTGACTACATTCACCTGTACGTACTGACTTCTCACGGGACTAATCAACATCGCTACCAGAGCGGTGTTCTTATCATAGTTAGAACTGATATTCTATTAAATAAACAACACAAAATGTCACATGAGAAACGCGAGATTTGATAACTGGATCGTCTAATACACGTGTCTTCGATATTTTTAATAATGGTTTTCAATGTTTAAAAATAATTAAAACTGCTCTTTGGATATGTTTCCACGTTAGAAAGCGCGTCTGATGTCACACATGTATGACAATAGCGCTGCTTTAGTGGATAAACATTTTCACTGAAAAGTGATGTTAAGAGTGTGATTTCCGTCACGCAATATTGATGAGCATACGAATCGATTTAATGGTACATACCAGTTATCCATATTGACTCACACGTGACATGAGAGTGTGTTTTAAAGGCAATGTGGGGGAGGGCGGGGTCATGAACTGAAACCCCAAAACTACAAGAAAGCTACAGGAAATTAATAAATCATACCGCTGTATACGAGAACCACTCCACTTCATCTTCACTATATGTTAGCTGGTACGCAGATACCCACGATGACACTACCGGATGACCCTGGGTAATCAACCCAGTTACCATAGCAGTCGTACCTAAATTGACTCGCAACCACGGAGTCATGTCGTTATTCGCCGGTCTCCAAGCCGATACATCGTCAAACAGTCTTCCACTATCGGCGATTTGTGTACCATCATATTCGGAAGACGCTGATATTGACGATGTCGGTATAGTCATATCGTTTGCGTTTACACCAAAGTCATCATATCGGGGAGTTGTGACATCTACGGACAGAAAATATCAACAATAGTACACAAGTGAGATTTGAGTACGCTACAAGTGTCAATATTATGTTCTGTGGAGCCACGAACAATATTATTATGAGACAAATTTGCCAAGACGTTAACAACAATATCATAAAGTTCACGTTATTCCTATTTCTAGTACACTTTTATATGAAGAACTCATTCTACATACACTGCTTCACATTAACCTACGAGTCACTGATCATACTACTTAGTCAACACGATGGCCGGGCTTAGGTTAATACGATTAGAAATATTTGTTTTTTTGCTGGAGTAAATATTTAGGAAAATAAGCAAATTCTGTAGAAATATCTTTGAAATCTATTAAATCGCAAAATTAAATGGCGTACATCAGCTACCCACCATGAGTGATGTTCATACTAAACTTGAATGCAATCGGCAAAGGCATGGCTACAAAACATGTTCAAATTTATGGGATTTTTTGACGAAAATAGCCGACTGTTTCATGAAATTCCAAAAATAACTAATAAGACAACAGTCAGCCTATTGTGACTTGTCTTTGCATCAAATTAATGTCAAATCTGAAAATATATATCCTTGAGAAACGAGCATAACACCCGTACAAATAACAACATGACCGCATTTAATCAAACCATGAAACAAAATGAAGTACATTAGTAACACACCATTAGTCATGTCAATACCAAATGTGAATGAAATCGGTCAAGGCATGTCTGCAAAACAGTTGATGACATATTCAAACGTGTTTTTTTTTGGGGGGGGGGTAATTATGGCCGTCTGTCGGTCAAGGGTGAAACAAATGAAATTGACATGCACATGTATTTCAGCATGTCATGCTTTGTACCTCTTTGAACTAAATTAGTCAATGCATGTCTGAAAAGGACGCAACGCAAAACATAAATCTCTGTTTCGTCTGACGGGACTAAAGCTACCTGATTATTGGTGTTTCCGTATGTCGTTTAAACCTGGGAAGTTAGCTCAAGCAAATATTCATTTATCTGTGAAGACCACTACAACATGGAAAGATTCATTGGCAACATTGACGTTGCAAATCGTTAAACCAATAATATGTAACAATATTCACAAACAATTACCTGGATTGGAATAACCTAAGAGCTCAATTCTCATGCAGATAGCTGTTTGCCAGGTAACAGGATGCAGTCGAGTATACTGAGCAGCGAGATAGTTGTGTAAAAGTGGATTGGTAACTGGCGTGTCTTTATCGTAAGAGCCTGGAAAAACCTTCAAAATGAAACAAAAACAAATCAGTATACGAAGAACGATACAAGGGAATAACACTTATTACGGGTACATATGTCTTGAAGTTGCATTTACACTTTGTATCAAATTCAAAAACACCCCACCGATTATTGTGATCACCATGAGGCATAATGAAATTGGTAGGTTTCGCTCCAAATCCTAAAATATAGAAGCACTTCACAGAATCATTGCCAGTTACAAGATTTGTGATGTAATGACCAAATTGGTTTTATGACTTAAGGCTATTTGCATGTCTACATTTTAGTTCTTCTCGCTTGATTGAAATCTTAAACGTTTCAACTGTTCCTCAGGCAAACTAAAAGTATATTAGGCGATAATTAGGAAATCGCTGTCTCCAGTATTAAAATAGTTTTGGGCAATGGCCTTTCATCAATAACACAGTAAAGGGAGAATGGAAGCAAACTGACAAAAAGTGCCAAACACATGCAATCAACATAGATGTGGTACTGTATGAAAACCAAATCCAAATACCTAACTATTGTATCAGAAATGTTTTGGTTATTCTAATCCACATTTCGTGAAAAAAACACACTTAAATTATTCATTAAAACGAAATGTTTACGACAAAAAAATAATGTTAATCACATAATGCGAACTAGCGATTGAAGTTCGTGTCATTAAACACGTGGTCTCATCCTCATATTATCATTTGAATATTTAATGAGTAATACGTTATGTCAGACTCATTGAAATAATATAGTAATTTCGATATAACATTGAACTATCGTGATACATGGGATAACGGCGAACTATTTTATTTGTTATTATCACTACGCATTACATCCGGTCTGGATGCCATGATGGTCATAAACCTATCGCTCACTGATGAAACCATACATCGTATAGTACTGTCCATATTTGGTTAATTGTTCATTGTAACTGTATTCCTGGAACCGAAGGCTAAGAGAATTATGACTGTTTCGATATTGTTTATTTTCACTTTAAGGATTATTCACTCTGTTTTAAACCTGTATTGACGGCACGCACTTGTGGATCCAGGAATTCGGCAAGAGGGGAGGGGCGCTGCTATTGACGTGGCCGGAGTAGATCTCCGGTGGGCAGGGTTTGTCAATTTATTTGTCATTTTTTGCGGGCTGAAGGAGGAGGTGAGCACCTGACTATTAGAAGTGATGAATTATGATGCGACGTGTGTGCATTGTTATGAAGGCTGACGCCGGCAAAAGAAACTTTCATAAATACTCACTTTTTGTTGACCTGTATCGGTCAAGTATGGTGACCAATTAATACCATCGTGGCTATATGTGATAGAAAACGATGTTACGAACTCATCAGAAGAAGTGTCACCCCTGCCTTGAACTGTCACCCCAGTCACTCGACTCGGAGCACCAAAGTCAACTTGCAGCCACTGATTTGCGTCGTTCGTCTGCGCACACCAGGCAGACATCCCGTCACCGTTCATGTAATTTAATCTGCCTCGTTCTGGGGCACTAGTTGCTGATTGGCTGGATGCAGTAACTTGACTGTCTGTTATAATATTATTCTCCATTCCGAGCGCTTCACCAATATCTATTAGTTAACAAATAGTTACCAGATACTCGTTGTTAACCGATTTAATTACAATTATTTTACAGCACGATTATATGAGACCGAGCAAAACAAACAAACAAACAAACACACAAACAAACAAGTAATTTGTTATGGAGAGACTACGGATTCCATGTCAGCGTCGGCGAAATTCCCAGACACAAGCAACGTAAGGAATAGGGTTTCAAGACCTCGAGTAAGCCAATTGACGATAATAAACATTTACCGATAATGTATGTTTTATTATGATGAACCATCTACAATTCACGATTTTATCGCCCTGAGTGTAATTATATTCAAAATGGCATTCCCTTTAGTACATTTATATGGCGTGTTCCACATCAAATAGTAATGATGGTGAATTCTATGAATATCTATTTCAGAATTACTGTGAACGTTTATAATATATATATTATATATTTTATAATGCACGACTTGGTGTGAAAGATCTATTACGTCACATTCCGTACCCCAACATAATATATTTCAGTATCTGTGGTGGCAAAAGTTAAAATTGTTAAACAATATCTGACTAGGTTGGCCTTTAAGTGCCGTCGAGACCATAAGTTCAAACATAAATGTTTCAAAGTAATTCACCGACACGAGTACACCGGTATTCCATTCCCAACGGGTAACACTGCAATAATAATTAGGGTGTGTGACGAGGCACCGATGTATGAACAGCGGACATTATGTGATCTGGATTCGCATCGTCATATGTTATTCTAGTAAAATGAACTCAACGAAACGACACTATCTTTTTATGATTTCAACGCATGTCAGAACGTCTGTTACTATCACTAACTAACACTCAGACGCGAAACTCGATGTTGTCTTGCAAGTCTTTAGACTATTCTCAAAACAAAAATAGAGACGCTTTATTCCTCATTAACTGTGCATGATCACTGAATAATTTGGATTGAAAATACACGTTTTTATTTCCGGTGACTTCCGATCTTAACCCCATTTCTTCTTTATATTACATAACTTCTAAAACTTAATACATCGAGCGTGGCATTTGACATACACGCCATCAGAAGTCATCTTACTCCTGTCGCATTTCATACTAGTTAAAATCACGCTTTTGCAAGGTCGAAAGCTCACAGTAAAGTAATTCGCGCTGCCAATGAACAAGAAACATTTTATACTTCAATTAACTATACATATTAATATGCACGTCACGTCTTTCCATTTATCTACGCCTATTGTGCTTCTGTCCCCATCTGACACGTGCGTGACATTTGATTCGAAAAGGTTGGGGGCCATCTTATATAAATGATCCTATTTACATAAGATGTGTAAAATGTGTATCTCAGCGTTGATGAAATATTCATAGATTCAACAATGGTTAGACATATATATGAATTCAGATGTGACTGAGACAATCGGATATCACGGTTCTTGTATAATATGGGTGCGTAGGCACGCAACTTTAATTACCATTTCTAAACGATAACAATTTTGGATATTAGTAAATGTCGTAATCTAAGCATGGAACTAACTCATTTTTGAGGGGATTGCAACACTGTATTTAAGAGGATACGGCGATTTTTTAAAACTTATATCCAATTCAATTTCGTTCTACTTTCATTAATTCAGGTTCGAATCGTTAATAGATATAGCAAATAAAAATATAAATTTGTGGTCACCGGCAGGATTCTTCGGAAGACGATAGGCTAATTCTTCAGTAAATACAATATCTTGTAAATCTGCATTGCTTTCAATGTAATTTGAAATGCTGTTCGGTGACATGAATCTTCTATAGTTACTGATATTCATTACAAATTGTACAATTAAAACTACACTCTCTATAATACTTATCACATGCTTGGCAATATTGTAAACGTAAAGTAGTGGTATGGTCAACTTTGAAACCAGAGATATATACTTTCAAACACAAAGCATTCAATATAATATACTTGATTCTGAACACGTGTATGTGTTTATTGTACGTACAAGCAAAGGACATTCTTAACATTATCCAATATCAGTCAACGGCAGATATATATTTGTCGGTGCTATAATTATATAAAAAAGAATACATATTACCTGGCACGCTATATCCATTGATCTCCCATAGAGTACAACATTGATGATCGCTAGTGTAAGCCTCAACCCGTATATACCGGGCAAAGACTGGTTCCAACAAATCCCTAGTAACATCTGACAGTAACGTTCCCGTAACACCATCGAAATTCTAAAAAAATAAATGAAAAATAAATATTTGGTGTTTTTAAAATCCAGTTCAATGCACCAAGACTCGTGCATTTTATGTCATTTAATGTCAGTTAAAATGGGGCATCATTTTATTTACCAATATAAATAATTAATCTTAAAGCTCATGATTGCGACTGAACAGACAATATACGCCACGATACATGAAAAACTATATATAACTCATTAAATATATTGACATGAAATTACCAATAATGTGGTATTTCATAATTAGTTGATTTCATATATTGACAAATTAAACAAAAACATTACATGAATATTTATACTATTTTATAGTAAGCGTTATACCCGGGCTCGTGGCGTTGTCAGAGTGGGCGATTGTTATAGTCGGTTGTTCACTATAGCAAAATAAAAATAAAATCCCAGCTTCGTCTACAACTTATGATTAAATTACCTCATTGTTATTTCTTGCAGATAATGCATTTTCAAAATGTGTCCCATCGTTGCTGTGCAGAACATAGAATGATCTTATAAAAGAGTTTGTATTGTCATTAGTCTTGCCCATCTTAATTCGGATACTCGTCACCCAAACAGGCACCAGCAAATCGGCTTGAATCCATTCTCCTGCTAGTTCGATTCCACACCAACCCTGCGCCGATGTCCCGTGGGTTGTACCGATTCTGGATTTAAACGCTTCGTATGTGATTCCATCATTTAATACGCTTGATGCAGTTAACTGTGCATCCAGAATGGCACCAGACGTAATGCCTAGTGGTAGAATGACAGCCTTCGGTGGACCTAAAGAGAAAGCATTTAAATTAGATAATTATCAAACAATTAATTACAAAGAAGCGCGCAGCATCATATAAATTGTATAAATTCATGTTTCAAAAATCATATGTCGGTTAGAATTGTGCGAGTTTTAAATATATTTGAAGTTGCTTCCTCATCACCAGCTGTTGTTGTCTCGCACCATTTAATCGTTCATTTTATTGTTGTATTGCGCGGGGTAACAAATGTAATCCGCTCTATTTTGAAAACAAATTTGTGTTAGGGATGGCATGGTTGGTTTTGAAACTTTTTTTTTTATTCAATGAAATTTTAGCGAAAACCAGCATGTTTCGAAATAGCGATCTGGTACATTTAAAGTATGTAGTCGAGTAATTATGTTAACATTACCAATGTCAGTTTAGTTGAACCGGCTTCACTTTTGGAACTTTCATTATTTGTGTGATGCATAGCACTATTTGATTTTAAAAAAGGCAAATCAGTCTTCTGTGTTTTTGTAAAATTTTGGGTATATTGCTCAATGCTTCAATCAATAAAAGAACCTTGCATTTTGTTTTCAAGTTTTTACACTATCGACTATGAGGAATTTAATTGTAGTATGAGACATATTTTGTGGCTGACAGCAATTTTGTTTTGTTTGATGTGTTTCTTAGGTACTTGTATCTTATTGAATGCTATTTGATTCGAATGGCTGTTATGTTGCAGCCCCGTGATACATTGCACCAAACGTCAGTCAGCAGTCGAATACTTTTCTCAGTGTTGATAAAAGACACTTTGTATTAAATTATTTGGGCTTCACGCATGATAACAATAACACACTACACGGAAAACGTCATATGCCTATATCCACCATCGATGTCTAGTAAATGCTGTGTGAATGTTAGTATGTGCTACGTTAACAGAAACATCACTGTGTAGAGATATGTACATTTCCGGCTCACAGCACTAATGATACAAAATATGCGAAGACGTGTGGACACATGGAAATGTCACCATCCATAATATCACTACAACAACAATGATGAAATGAATATCGTTATAAGTAATACATGAACAGTTGGGATACACTGTTGTATTTTCACAAACATGTTCTTCACTGCAAACAGTTTGCAGAACTACAATGATTACATCAACCTCGTACGAATGGACTAATGGACATCTACGCTAAAAACGTATGTTTTGTTACACCTCTTGGGCGAGGATTCATGTCGAGTGAGAAAACAAGCAGAATGAGTATGCATCTAACATCTCGTTAATATTTAATGCTTGCAAATCCGAACTGATTGCTCGAGGATATAGGGCGTATTTGACAATATATATCAAATAAAACCGTTGGGGGTATCCGCAAGATACTCGAGGATTTCCGAAAATTTGGATGTGATAATTTTTTGAACATTTAAGGGCGTTATGGCGTAATTGAATTGCGTGAGATATGTATTGATCGATGAGTTGAAAACATGAAGCAATTGCCAGTAAGATTGCTCTTTGATATATGTGTTTTGACTTGTACAGCATTCCAGCCACTATATTACTCCTGTTTGCACTGTCTTCGAGCGACTAAGAACATCGAGCGTTTCGTACTGCCTAGGGTAGTTGTGTTGCATGATGGGATTGGTTTATGCTGTCCACTCCCCATGTGGATAACTCGTGATCGCCACAACTAGTGAATTTATTCCATGACTCAAACCCCTGCATATGTTGAAATCCCTCAATAAAACGAAGCAGACAATACAAATGTCAAATATGCGCGAAATACGTTTAGTTCTTCGGAAAACGGAACATGTCTATTTATAGCGGCGATTCTTTATCGCCTTGAACGTCATACCTTCCTCAATACATGCTATTGATACAATGTACACCACGAGAATTCCTTTCATGCACAAACTGCTACAAATGCAAATAATGAAACAATTTGCATGTCACTTGTCTGACAACTGGTACCGTATGTCGCCATGACGATATGTGTCGCATTCAATGTAATCCGGAAACCAATTCCACGTTCTAAACTCAGTTGTATAGTGCACATTTCACATCGCTTGTGACGTGAGTTCAGAACCACATTGAGAGATACAATGAAATGTTAGGATAAGAGTTCACCTTCAACCTATTAAGCAATCATACAAGCTAATGATGCATTTACCTTGTGAGTTTGAAAACATGATCGTTCCAACCATTTGGTGAATAACGTTTGTAATAAGCAACATTGAGGTAAAGATAAATAGTATTTTCTAACCCCACTTAATGGCTGCATTGTATAAGATCGCAGATCGTGATGTCATGAAATGTTTGAATTTATATATTGACTATGGAACACGACTTAAAACATGGAGTTGTATCTCAATATCATTCATTAGAAGTATGTTTTCGGGGGAGGGATTATAAATATATACGTTTTAATTTACCGATTTGACCATTTATTTAAATGTCTACTTAATCGTCACAGTATAAATTGTATATCGTGTCCATTTGGTATATTTCCATTAAACCAGTAAACTAGTAAACAAGACAATTTTACTTTTAAACTATTTCGTTGTTGCAATAGATATGATATTGAATTATGCGTTAGTTTAGTTTACTGTCACCTGCCGCTATATTACGTCATATCAGGATACGATCCTTTCCAATTCACGTTACACCTATAACCCGTGACAAAACACGATGTACAATATATAAAATAAAGCCCATGTTTGTTTTCAATGAGAAGACACAGTAACGTAATTGAATCCCAGTGGAACGAACAATCACATCGAGCAGGAAAATCAAAGAAGATATTACAGTTAGAGAATCATGAGTATAATACATCCGGCACGTGGTTGATCTCTCGCGTGCTATGCTCTTTGTTGGCGACAGATCTGTTGGATCTTTGTTGATGTTGGAAAAATCATATATCAAGCATAAATAGACATATATAGACTTTTATATATTTAAAGAAACTACAAATATTTGTAGTTATCGTATTAAACGCAACATCCAGTCGTAAACATCTTCTTTTTTAATCTACCAGGAATTCGATATCAATAGACGGTTTTGTACCTTGTCACGTTTCAAAATGCCACATTTGAAATATTCATAAGTTGATTATGCCGTCACACTATTGTTGGGTTTATTGATAAGAATTATATGATATTATTTCAAATATTGCTGTTAGTTTTAGACGTCGACTAAAACGCAAGATGTAGCACCGTATATATGCGAGACATCATTTCATATTCTCCCAACCTCAACTCCGCTGTCCATATACATTTGTTTCACCTATGGTTGGTGGCGATTGGGTATGGATTGTGAAACATTCGCTGTTTGAAATGACTCCAAAATTAGTAATTGTGTTACCAATACACCCCCAAATCTTAAAGGGATGTGGTCGTCGCGCCACACATAAGCGAGATATGGGACTCATATCAACAAAGATGGCGACTTTGGTTGTTGCGCGCAGACCAGCGAATACAAACTGAGACGTTACCAAGCTGTAACTCGATATTTCGTTGATGATTAGAGGGGTATCGAAGGAGTCGCCGTTGGTAATTATTGCTCGCTGCAGCGTGGTCAAAACTTTGACCTGATATCCATTCGAACAGCGCATTGGATAGCTCCGAAATATCTACATTTTCTAATCGAAACAAGATAAATGTTACTTGGGGTTCATACACGGATATCGGCTATGCAAATAAGCCAGAAGACTCAATGGTGACTTGAATACGTGCTCACAAACTACGATCTCTGCGTTAGTTTTTATCCTTTACTGACTGCAAAAAAAATACATGGAATAAACTGAATATCAAATTCATGATTCGAAAATATCAGGTTTATTCAATTTTCGTTTGTTATGTTAGCAACATGTCAAATACTCTGTATTTGCATAGACCTTAGAAAACAGGGACATGCTACTGTAGGTATCCCTTTCATGTAACCTTAGTTATAATCCTCTACCCAATTAACACCTTAGTGAAACTGACAATAAAGCTATGTCAACACCACTGTTACATCCTCTCCTGTTACATAAGCCAAACATGGCTGCCAGGGAGTAGCTACACAAAATGAGCCAACTTTGTGGTTAGAATATAATCAGAAAAATTACATTTGATTAAAACTGAATAGCCAAGCCCATTCTATTGATACGAGTGAAACTAAAAATTGCAAAGTTAACAGTTTTTATTCCACAATGAAAACAGAAAAGGGAAATAAAAATGGTCAGTTTTCTCTACAAGAAAACAAAACTGCCTAAACGTAAACAATGACCTGTCAAAATTTGTGTCATTATAACTAGTGGATTTTTCATCATATTTAGAGCAGATATAGCATACTGCACTTGTTATACACTGACAAATGTGAATATTGGCACAGCATAACTTATCAAACATATAAAAAAGCGTAGAAAGGTAAGAACTAAAACTGTTTCAGA